CACACTATGGTGGTATTTTAACTTTTCAACATATAATTTTCAAGTTTTTGTATTTTATTGGAACAGGGCCGGTATAGATAACAGTCTTGTAATACAAGCTGAAAGTGCACCTGATATAAATGTAAGTGAAGGCTACTTGCTTTGTTTGCAACGTTGTTTAAATTGCCGATTTTGTTCCTTTTCAATTCTTTGTTGTTAAGCTTAGATTCCATCAGACTGAAATGTTATTTTCATTGCGGGTTTGCAGCCCGTCACTTTAGAAATTATAAATGAATCTGGCGCTCCAAAAATGGATTGATCTGACGGCTAGTGAAGCACGTATCAGTATATCGGCCTGAATTCGCCTACGATCCTGGCGAAGGCTACAATTATAGCTGCGCACTATAGCTTATCTTTCAACGGAGGAGTCATATATTTCAATGAAATGCGTCCTAATATAGATAGAGAGCTATTTTTACATCCGCCAAAACTGATAAGGAAGTACAGTGGAACCCCGTTAATGCGACCACCTTCGGGCCATGAAGAATTGGGTGCGTTAACGAGGTGGTCGTATTAAAGGAGTTCTTTAAATAAGAAAATGATTGACTGAGCTTTTTTTTGGGCCTGAATAAAGTGGCCGTATTAACGGGGTGGTCGTATTAACGAGGTGGTCGTATTAACGGAGTGGTCGTAAGGCGGGTTCCACTGTATTACTTACATTCGAGAAAAATGACTCGAAATCAATGTTATTTCCTCTGCAAATAAGCCAATATGATTTTCCAATTGAGATTTCACTGATAAATCAGACAATGATAAACCTATCCCAAACCAGTTTGGTCTGACATTGAAACGTCACGCATTCTTCAACAAACTGTTTCAGATCCGTCTGTCTAATTGGGGCTACGCTGAAACCTTGCGTCCCGTCTACATTTACGCGTTTGCAAGCGGATATTTAGTACTCATTAACGTTTGTGCCTTTTGTTCCTTTCGTTCACGCGCAAACGACATTATGCTTGCGAATTTTTGTCTCAGTTTCTTTAGGACTCTACAAAATGAGTAAGCTGGTAAAGCAGAGAGCTATCACGATTTATACCATGCCATAGAAATTACAGCCAATCAGAAAACAGGAAAGTCGTTGTATATTCGACGGTACTACATCCAACCTTCCAATCATGCGCCGCGCGTAACGTATGTCGCATTGATTGTGCTTTTCTATGAGGATCCCCAATAG